ATTTAACATACGCAAAAAGAGACTGACAAAAACAGTCAGTCAGGATCGATGACACCTATTGCCCACGTGATAAATTATGAAGAAAAAAAAGGATTCCCTATTCTAAGAAATGTCACCACTCTCAGAAGATCTTTCAAAAGCAACAGAATCAATGGTCTTTCCAATAAATCGGCTGCAGACCATCTTGAGCAAATACTCTTAAAAGCAGGTTGTTTGTTTTCACTGTTTTTTTGGTGGGTCAATGATGTTAAAAGTGATTGTGTTTTATTCTGTTTTGATGTCACTGCTCATACTAAGCATGCATTTGAAACGTGATTTGCAAGTTTAAACTGAAGTGTTTATAAAACCCTAGTGAGAGTTGCCTTGTGAAAATGAGGACTTCTGTGATAAACACTGTACAGTGACAGATTCATTTTATATTCTGTTTAACATACATATCAGTAAAGTCACGGTGAGATAAATCATCTTATTCTGAACCAAAACAGAATGTTTTGCTATGTGCAAGGCATGGCATGTTTTTGTTTCACAGTGTGTCTTTAGTTTTAGGTGATCCAGCTGTGCTCAGCTCGCAGTGTTTGGGAGGACAGTATGTGACGTGCATTTGAATTTGTTTGTATGCAAAATGCTCTTGCCAGACTTTCTGCCTGGCTCATACGGGCCCCCTGCACGCTACTGTGGCCTCAGGGCATAACAGGCAGCATCCTGAAAGCCACAGCAACCTACTCGAGAGCTGGAAGGTGCAAAGTGCAAACCGCAGCAGTAATCAATGCGGGACAGATCATCTCTGCTTGAATCTAGCAGGGATTTTTCTTTTCTTTTTTATCTTTTTTTCTTTCAGCTGTGACCCAGAGGCTGGCAGTTGTGTCTGGCGATCAAGTGCTACAGAACAAGAGGATCTGAGGGCAGTTACAGCAAAGCAGCTGTCTCTCAATTCTTGTCCTAAGGAGCAACAGGTAGATCATGCTGCAACATACACCATGCTGCAACATATCTAAGCCCAAACAGCATATAGGGATACATTTTTTAATTAGCTTTCCCATTTCTAAACCCACACTGTTGCTGAACAGCTGGAGTTTTGAAATCGGACCCCCAAATTTTACTGACAAACATCACACATTATCACGAGAAACTGAGGTCCGTGTTGGAAGAGGAGGGCTACAGGCTACTGATCTCTTCTTTCCGTAGTCAGGGGGCTTGGAAAGTACCAGCTTCCGTCCAGGTCTCGCAGAAGTTGACTACCCCCCGTCCTGCCTGTAGCTGCTCGAGGGGCAGTTGTGCCCAGCATTGCCCGTGTGCTCCGAGGAGAGCACGTTGTGCCAAGCTGCCCGGCTCTGCCTGGTCGCAGCCAGGCTCACCCTGCCCTGTCAACGTCTGCATGTGCCAAAGGGGGTCTTGACAGAGATGCTGAAGGTTGATCCTCAAACAAATAATCCCGGTGCTATTTACTTCAATTCAGCTGTGATAATTTCCACCATCTGAAGGGCAGCCTAAGCCTGCACTGGCAGAGCTCTGAAACACTTGTTATTGACTTGAGCAGACGGAGCCCTGTGGCAAGGGGAATGCAGTTTTCCCATCGCTTATGATTCCCAACAAGCGAATGAAAACAGAACACAATTCAAAATGAAAAGAGAACAAGTCAGATTTAGAACATAATTGCTAACACAGTGATCACATGTGTGCACCAACACAGGACAGCTATATATGCTGATATAAAGATGTTAGTTATGCGCACAATTAAAGTGAAACTGATACACAGTAAGAAAGCAGAAGTAAATATTTTAACTTCTTGGGCCTGGTCATGCTTTTTTTTTCTTTTTTTTTTTAATTTTTAACTCTTACACAATCTTGTAGAGGCATCTCAAGAAGCGACTATTCTAAAACACCTTTGACAGAAGGGAAACAATACCCATCTTCCAGAAAACAGTGATTTCCTCCTGCTCCATTCAAGCAGGGTTAGATATAACTGTAACTACCCGCTAATCCTTCCAATATTAGTGGACTTCCTTGTTCAAACACTGTCTCAGCTGTGTTGTCTTGCTATGTGTGGTGATTGCTCACTACCAGCAGTACTGACTGTCCCTTTATCTTTGTCCTTTCCCTCTATTTTATTGCCATTAACTTACCAAGTGACACACGTCTTATCATTCCTCCTTATGACACATCTGTTGACTTATCGTCCTTCTTCTTCAGGATACCTCTGCTCCACCTCTTGACCTTCATGTCTTCAAAGCACCTAAAAGAGAAAAAGAGGCACATGTTGATAGTCTGATTCACTAGGTTGAACATGGTGTTAGTCATTTTTTCCATGCTGCTGTACCAGTGCAGTATTCCCTGGAACTAATCCTTAAAATGCTAGCATACGCACAATGATAGTGAAGTAAATATTTAAGATGTGTATATAGTAAATCTCTGGAGTTTCTAAATGGTTAGTAAAATCAGGACTTTGGGGTGTACACAATAAGTTTCTTACTCACTGCTTATCAAACTCAGAGAAATACTAACACTCGTGATCGCATTCAAAACTTTGCAGATAGTTCTGCTTTGCTGTAAACCCTTCTGATTCAGGCAACTTTTTTTTGGCCAAGCTGTAGACAAATACGCTCAAAACGTATATTAGCTTCCTTCCAGTTTGCTTGCATGTGTCCATTACAGAGAAGCTAAAGCCAAGGCAGAATTTCTTGTGCTCATTAAACTCGACAGCAAAGCTTCACCTGCTTCCACTAGCAAAGGGCAGGTTCTGGCTCTCGAGGCACAGGTCATGCAGCAGTGCTTTTGTAACTTGGACTGGTTCAGGTAACTTCACGTACTCAGTATAAATGATAATGATATAAGACACACTGACATCACCACATTTTCATAAAAAGCACATACAAATGCACAGTGACATTTCACACACACAGCGGTTGTACGTAAGACACTCACAGATTTGAGTCCGACACTGTGGGGCTCGAGTACCCTTAACTCTCATTAACTTCAATGGGAGCTGAGAGTGCTTAGCAGTTCAGGTGAGCAGCCCCTCAACGTGGCTCTGCACAATACAGAATTAGATGAGCATTCAAGCCTGAATTGAGAGCAATTTCTCCTTTCTAGTATGTGTGTTTCTAATTGCGGGATTAGCACAATTGGCTGATAATCATAGTAATACACGTGATTTTTTTGGTACTGAAGTGCTCTTGCTCAAAGTTATTAAAGCTCACTCTACATCGCCTACAGTTTTACAACACACCGTAATGGAATAATATAATGAGTACAATGTGAGTATAGTACAAAAGCAGGTGTAAAATTAAAAATATATCTAAGGATATTGCTGTTCTTGACTATGAGCAATACGAAGTATGAATTACCTCTCTAAGCTGGGTACAGGAGTTACTCTGTGAACAATGCAGCCCAGTTCACACACGGTTTAGCTGCTGTTTTTTTTTCAAGACTTTCTTCCCACCCTTCCAGCTATTTTATAAGCACTTATCTTTATTATTTCCATAAAGGCAATTAGGATTTTAAGTTACATCTTCTAGCTTTCTACTGAAAGTTGGTTGTTAAAATTGTTTTATAAACTTAGTGTAATAATGTGATGTAGGGGCACAGGAAAAAAAAACTTATTGAAAAATTATAGCACAAACCCTGGGTCAATTTGAAGTTTTCAGGAATGCACAGCCCTATATATGATGTGAGAGTACCGAGTCTTGAAGTAGTTTAACACACAGAGATTTCTTAGCAACTTTAAATTTCACTGTGCATAAACACGTTCTTATTAGCATTTTTCTGGTATCGTTCCATGTCTTGTATGCCCATAGTGCTGAGCTGATGAAATAAGGGCACGTTCACTGTACATGCAAACTTCTACTTCCCTTTTTTCTTTTTGTCTTTCTGAACAGGGCAAAAACATATTTGAGGAAAAAAATAGGTTTGTCTAGCTGTAAATAGAGAGTTCCTGAAATGAAGTTTCATCAGAGGCTGCTGATAATCACTAATGCCAAACCCTCATTACCACAGCAGCATTTTTACCAACTGTATGGCAGATCTTGCAATTAAGAACACACACAGAGTTATTCCTTTCTTGCTCAACAATATTTTAATTTCAAAAAGTGGCTTTATAGTTCAAGATTACAAATAAAAAATACTTCATCTTGATCCTTTTGCCATTTTCTCTCAGGGAAATTTTCAAGTTTTAGTTACAAAGTGGAAAAAAAAATTGGGCTGATGAATGCTCACTATGACAAAAGTTGAACCATTCCCTCTCCACTTCATCATCATTGGACGTTTTGAAATGGAAGGTTTTGCTCCAAGTGAGCTGGAAGAGCAGTTCTCTCCTGGTAGGTGAGATCATGTGGGCATACACCATCACCAAATCCTTTCAATTTGAAAGCAACTGAAACAGCACTAAAATGAATGAGTCAAGCGCCTCTCCAACTACTAGGCTGCATCAAGAAGGCACAACATAAGCAATGGTAAAGTCAGTAAACAAAATTTTACTGTAATATTCCATAACACAGATACTGTATTTCTCTTTTAAGTGTAAAGCTACCGTCTTACACAAGAAAGATGGACAGACCCTTTTCCAAGACTAATATGGATACAATAAATATGGAGTTTTACATACTAGATCTGTACACAGAAACTTTGTCCCACAGCCATAAAAATTTACATTTAACAGTGCAACATATAATTTAATCCTTTATTTATCTGACATAAGATGTTTACTTACTAGACACAAGCAACTACCTGGTTTTAATATACATATTTTATATATATATATTTTATATATATATATTCAACAATCTGTACAGGTTTCTAAACATAAAACTCCAAAAAGGCACAATCGTCTATACAACATGTACAAAAATGGTTGGAGCTGACAAGAAACAACGATTATTGGTCAAGAGTTCATGATTGCACAAAGATTAGTAATGGGTTTGTGTCAGAAAAAATGTGCTTTAAGGAAAGGAAGGTTTACCAAGAAACCTGTGTTGTAAAAAAATAAACACCATGAAAAACAAAAACTAGGTTGCTATTACAAGTCTATCCTCATCGTCACTGCTGCCATCACTAAACTGCACTGTGTTTTGCCTTCGGGGCAATCCTGTTGGCCTGTGTACCTGTCTATCTGGAGAGACAGTTCGATGGACGGGGGACTTGGTTAGAGCGTCAGAATTCACCTTTGAGCGGGGCTCTGCTGCGGAAGCCCTTTTAACCTGAACAGAAGGGACATCACACTTTGGCTTCATGTGATTTGCAAGGTTGGTCTTTTCCGCGTCTGCTTTCCCTGGACCATGAGGTCTTTCATAGTCCTTCGGAGGGGCAGGCTCTGAAAGGCTTTTTACACTGTACCGCTGGACACTGGGTGCCACCTGAGGAGAAGCAGCCCTGGCGACCTGACTGGCGTCGGCTGCAGGAAAGTTCACGGCAGGCAGCTCCTGTTGGACGTCACAGGCTTTGCTACTTGAAGCTGGTGTTTCAGAAGCTCCTTGTCCATCAACGTTGACCGGGCTGACGGAAGGGATTAATGTAGGCAACGCTATGTTCAGTATTTGCAAACCTGGAATGTGCGTCTGAGGGCTGGGATTGCTCTGTGGAGAAGCATTGGCAGTCAAAACTTGCAGCCCCACATTTAGAGTATTTAGAGTAATTCCTGAAGGGCGTATCTGTGGGGCTATGTTTGTGTTTGTCAGGCCTAAGATATTGACTGTCTCCATGCCTAACGGTGGAAGAGGCTGCAAGCTTGGTGCGCTGAGACTCTGGATGCCTGGCACGTTTATCTGACCTATGGGAATACACGGCACAACGCTGTTCACTTCGGCAACGCCTATGGGATTCGCCGTGCCGGAGACCACGCAGCCCGCGTCGCCGAGCGCGCTTGTAGTCCTGTGAATGACACTAACGGCAGGAATAGTGAGCTGCACCGGCCCCGCCTGGATGGGCACGAACGTGGAGTAGGTGGCCAGGCCAGCAGGGACCACCTGAATGCCCCCTACGGGCACCATGCCGCACGGCGCGCGGGGCGGCTGCTGC